CTTATTTTTGGTATCATGCATAACCTTTGTTCCCTAGTGTAGTGTTTTAAGCCATGCTAAGAGGTGCGCAAATGTTGGTGTACCATTATTGATTGTGTTTGTAGTGTTGGAGGGAATAGAAGTGTCACTCTTTTACAGTGCGTCTCATTTACCCCAATCACAGGTGCTAACTTTCCACGGGTCACGTAGAATATTTTTTTTTAAATTAATAGTGTTTGTGCTGGTTCTGGTATTTCTTTGAGGGGCGTTCGCACTGCATTACCATCCACTTACACAAAAACCCCAACTATTTAAGTGAGGGAATTCCGACCTGTTATATATATATATATATATATATATATATATATATATATATATATATATATATATATAACATCAACCTGCCAGGATTAGAACCCACGGCCCACGAGCCCATAACTGTGACCGGGGAACACTAACCGCTGGACCACCAGTATACTAAAGGCAGTCCTAGATTCTGTTATATTTCACACAAAGCCTGTTCAACAAGCTTATGGCGTCGTGAACCTCTAATGGGGACTACCCGTATCACGTAGGTGGTGAGAGTAACGTTTTACCAAATCCGGCTTCGAAACACGAGGATCCATATATATTTCATAAGCCCAATAAACACGCGGACTTCTATATACAATCAACACCTCAACCCGCCATGATTCGAACCCGTGTGTTTATTGGGCTAATGAAATATATATATATATATATATATATATATATATATATATATATATATATATATATATATTATATATATATATTATATATATATATTATATATATATATTATATATATATATATATATATATATATATATATATATATATATATATATATATATATATATATATATATATATATATACTATATATATGCTGAAATAGAGAGACAGTCAGAATCAAAGATAGGTTGTCTTAACCAAGGAGATAGACTCATAAATGTAGATTATTTACTGAGATAGACAGATAGATTGACTGAGAAGAAATATAGACGGACTTACCTATTCGACAGACAAGCGAAGTGCCCACTGTTTGAAGCACACTTCCAAAGGGGCATTCGTAGAAGAGGGTCGAGTTCACCCAATAGGGCACCGCAGGCACGTCCAGCGTCTCATCAAGGATAATAGGCGGTATTCGGTTCCCAGCAGGGTGTACTGAAAAGTATACGTAACAAACACATCTTGAAATTATCTACGCGGGGTCACCTCATTAAGCTATGACAATAGATAAACTGTCAGATATGGCGAGTTTTTGTGTCTGAGCTTTACCGGATGTCCCGCTTATTTGTCAAATGCAAGGCTGACCTGACGTGCCCTCACCTATGAGTATGCACATGCAGTATTATAATCCAATAATACAAAAGGCAGTTAATGTGTTTAGAATAAAACAATGAGATCTGTAGCTAGGAAGACCACCTGAAGAAGCTTAAGATTCCATCAACGGTGTACGGAAAAAGTTCAAGGAATGAATTATAGTGAAGCGTGCGGCTGAGACAGACCATACTAGTGTTATTATTAGAGGACACGGTGTTAACGTCTTCAAGACACGCGTACAAACCAAAATGAAGTTTAAGAACATCTCGATGCATCTTGTAGATGTGTGGACCAAGTTACCTAAACAAGTGGTCACGTCACAAAACTTGCTTACATTTGAGAGGCGATTGAACTGGTGTGCATAATTACAGATCTCCGAGTATACTGTACTAGCCCGCCCTAGTTTGTGTCTAGATGAGGTTCTCGATATGCCGACCTGACACCGACCTGACACCATCGTCTGACATAAACATAGGGCAACAGGGAATTAAGGTTACTGCTCATTTAATAGAAATCACTTATTGGTAAGGTCAGATATAATACAATATATCGTTAGTTGATGTAAGAGTCTCTTATTCAATAGATATAATCTGACCTATTTCTGTTTTTTATGTATTTCTGAGCTTCAACAACTACAGTAAGGTCTTTTTGCACTTAAGCTTAAAATACTGTAGTTCAATAGACTAGCCAACAATTATTTTATAATTACTTAAAATACAAGTATTTATCAATGTTATAATGTGTTAATGCGCTTTACTGTAACAACAAAGATCTTTAAGTGCTTATCCTTGTTAACCAAATATAAGACATATTTATTTCAATAATATTTACACCAAAAATATTTATATAGCCCATGAAACGTTATGTAAATAATAATCACAAAGAAAATTTACAATTATTCCTTTCCTTATATAAGTTTTATATTTTCAATTTTAATGGTTGATTTCTTCAGTTATTTCGTCAGACTTTTCCATACACAAAGCTTTCACTGAACTTTGTGGTCTGTGTAACAAGTGAACTGCAGTAAACGTCTTGTGGTAACATTAACAAGTGAATAACAGAAAACATCATCAACTCACCTTCCTCAGAATTGCTGGTACTTTGCTTCTCCCCAGGCGTTCCAGTGGAAGGAGTCATGGTAGTGGAAGGATTGTTCGCAGTGGAAGGAGTGTTCGCAGTGGAAGGAGTCATGGTAGTGGAAGGAGTCGTCGTAGTGGAAGGAGTGTTCGCAGTGGAAGGAGTCATGGTAGTGGAAGGAGTCATCGTAGTGGAAGGAGTCGTAGTGGAAAGAGCGTTCACAGTGGAAGGAGTCATGGTAGTGGAAGGAGTCGTCGTCGTGGAAAGAGTCGTCGTAGTGGAAGGAGTCGTCGTAGTGGAAGGAGTGTTCACAGTTGAAGGAGTCGTCGTAGTGGAAGGAGTGTTCACAGTTGAAGGAGTCGTCGTCATGGAAGGAATCGTCCATGTGGAAGAAGTCATCATGGGGATGGTCACATTTATAATGCTGATATTCTGGCTGGGGTCTTGACAGCTGCACGTTACCTGTAATGGTCATGAGAGAACGATTGTGTGTAGGGGTATGATATGATTTTTTTTAGTGTGATTGTGCATGTACGAAAAGTCGTGACCAGAGACTAAATCCTTGTTTCCTTTGTCAAAACAAACTTCTCTCAAATTTTAAGTCGAGATCAAAATATGAATCCTGCGTAACTCTAGTTAGGTTTTATATGAAAATATTTCGCTTATATGTATTTTTATGATCTACAAGATCGTTTATAACCAGTCGGAAG